CAAACCTAGCAAGTTTATAAATTCATAATTTTCAGCTGAAGCAATCGTATCAGTTGCCTTTAAATGTAGGTATTCTAGGTCAGATGCACAGTTTTTGGGAGCATGTCCCTCACCTTTGCACTTTCTAGTAGATCAAGGTGAATGTTTTCTAAAAGGCATCCCTTCATTGAACTAGGATGGCTATGCAATAAAGAGAGAGTTGTTAACAAGTGGCTTCTATCAAAGTAGGGATCTCTCTGATTGGAGGAATTAGCTCTTGCACATGTTATTAGTTGATTCCAAACATAATTCCCCTCCTCCCTTCCCTTCCAAAAGGGACTGGCTGCACCCTCTGGAAGGTTTGTGCTGCTTGTCCATCAGATGCAGGACTGCTGGACATTACTTAATTGGCTTGCCAGTTTGACTTGATGACAGACCACTGGGCTGATGAATTCACACCTCTGCTTGGCTGTCTCTCCTTGTTCTACAATAATTCCCACCTGCTTCAACCTTGAACCAGAGGTAGTTCATTTTGCACCAGCTGCTTAACTAATCTTTCTTGTTAACCTTACCATTTCTAAGGGCACTCCAATACATCCTCCTCTTCTTCTAGCTCACCTTCAAAGGCTGAGCATTCTAGCTTTTGAAGCATTTTAAGGGAAGTGGGCCCAGTTCTTTCATAATTTAAGTTTCTCTTCTGAAGATGCACAGCTTATATAGACCTAGTTTACACATCACAACAACTCAGTTATTTGTTTGCTTTAAACCCTGGATATTTATAAATAAAATAGGAGCAAGTGATCATGCTGTTTTGTATTTCTCTCCCAGCAAATGGTGATTTCTCCTGGAAAATAGCAAGTCAGTAAGCCTATGGAAAGCTATACCACCCAGCTGAAGAGCAGTTTGCTTTCTCAGCCTTGCCTCACCATTTTCCTTTCAAAATAATCATATTATATCTCATTGGGTCATAAAGAGTGTGATTTATTGAAGCCAATTCATGAGACACTAAATCATTTTGGCAAAACAGCTGCATTTCACAGCTTTTGGTTTTATCCCATTAAAATTTCAAGTCTATAATATGCAATTATGTGTATACTCAAAGTAAAGATATTATTCTCTGTGTAAAAAAAGGAAAGTATAAATTTCTCCCCTTTAATTTGTAATATATTCAGGCTTGACAGTACTAATTTGCACGGCAAAGTAATTTGGGCATAAGAAGCATATGTCAACACGAGGAGCTGCAGCTTTGTCTCTAGGGAATCAGACTTAAATCTGTCTAGTTACAGATATAGTCAATATGCTCATTTTAATTTTTGACCCAGTAATGATAATTTATGAAACTTAGGCTTTTCCTCCTCTTTTGATGATTTGCTTTTCTCAGGAGGGCAAAAAAACCATACTATAATATATAATTATATCTTAGGACTAGTTGGTATAAGCAGTAAGGTCCCAATGTATTGCCTTGTGATGGACGTACACCTTAGATGGACAAGTAGCCATTGATCACTGTTTGTTTGGAATTATAGGATTCATTTTCTGTTCCAGAAGTTAAGATGGACTCCAAATTAAGCTTGAATCAGGCCCCAGCAGCTGTGCTATGGCTAAAAAGGAGCCATCGGGCCCCAGGCAATTTACAGATCAGATTCTGGCCTTAATGGCACACCTACAAACAGGGCAATCAACAGCAATAATTAGGTCTTGACTATTCCCTCTGCTTCCAAAAATTAGCATGAAGTGAATGCATGTTTGTGAGACAGAGAAATTGAGGGAGAGGGGAAAGTTACTGTCCAGTCTCAGGACTGTGGGTCCTGCCACTTAGCAATCTATCACTGCGAGGGTACAAGAAGCTGGAGAATCCTAATCTTAAACTTCTGCCTCCACATATTTACACTCATAGTGGCTTGTATACATACAAGAAAAGCAACTCCATGTGGTTGCCATAGTTTGGGATTCTGTACCATGATCTACCTTACAGATGGTCAAGTGAGTTCCACCCTCCGTGCTGAGTCCTCCTACTGTTGTCATGTATCTTATCAGCCGCTGCACCTGACATTCCTAAGGTGCATTCACTTCCTGCCTATGTAGGGGCTGGATAGCTGGAGCAGCTTCTGCAGTTGCTACTCTTTCCAGAGTAGTTTCATGCCAGGACCAGGGAAACCACGATTGAGACCATGCAACAAGCCATGGTGGTATGGAAAAAAACTACAGGACAAGCCATTGTTTCTTATCGTTTCCAAAGGCCAAACTTCCCATGGTGTAACAGGATTAGGAGGGAGGGACATGTTGACGGCACTTTGTTCCATGTAAAACTCTCGAGGAAGCAAGCTCATCCAGCAGGTCTGCTTATTTGTCGTTTGCAGCTTCTGTCGTGGCTGCACTGCCGAAGCGCCACAGCCCTCCCCTCACCTAGACTCTTCCTCATCCCTGGTTCTAAGGCAAAGAGCGGTACTGCCTCGGGGGCAGTGGGGACCTGCGTGCCTTGCCTAGCTGTCTGTGCATTGCAGCAACACCAGCTGCTTCCAGCCTTCTCCCAAAGGCTGCTTCTGTGCATCTCCTCGTCCTTCCCTCCCTTCCTCCGCTCTCTCGCTCACGCTCTCCTCTTCTGCCCACCCCCTCCTGTTCGTCTTGTCCCTGCCTTTATTCTCCCCTTCCCGACATAGCTGTCCCTGCCCTGGCCACCAGTCCTGTGCGGCTCTGCAAGCACCGTCACATCCCCACAAACAGAGTCCCACGTCTCGCTCCTCCCAAGCAGATTCCCGGCCCTGCCCATCATCTCTAGCCACCTCTGGTGGCTTTCTCAGGAAGATGAGTGAGCCCCTCCACATCCTGACATGTGGTAAAATACCTTGACTGGGTTCAGACAGCAGTACAAACCAACAATGATTAAAATCTACCATGATTTGTTGTGTTGTCTGAATCCAGCCAGCTTCAACTGATTCTGAATGCTCAGGCATTAAAAGAAAGAAGTATTTATAATGGATGGGTCAGTTTTTCTTGGTGCAAATCTGATTTAGGCGAGGTAATTGGAACCCTTGAAATGGACTGCATTATTGTTAGGCCTATTGAAGGCAATTGACCCAATGTCACATGCAAAACAGAGGCACTCAAGAAAGGTGGACGTGGTACAGTAGCATATCTCCAATGAAGAAAAGGGGAACGCTGCAGGCACGAGGTTGATCAGGATCTACTGGATCTCTGAGTGATGTGGAATGAATCCATAAGGATTTATGATTCTCAAGTATTTAACAATCGTTGCAGCAAAACAGCTTCCCTTCCACCCTCAATTGTACCGCAGAAATAAAGGCAGCCAGAAATGGATTTTGTGTGCAAGGACTGTGACATCTATTCAGTTCTGGTACTAAAAGCAAATTTCTCAGTTCAGAATTCTTTATTTGTAGCTATTTCCAGAGGGGTAATCGGTGTCAATCTGCTGCGGGAAAAACAGCAGACTTTTAAGGAGTCTTGTATCACCTTAAAAGCTGCATCTAATGAAGTGGACAGCGCTCACAAAAGCTTGTGCTGAATAAATCTGTTAGTCTCTCAGGCATCACGGGCTCTTTGTTGTTAATTTTAACTGTGCACCTGTTACACGAGGCTCTAGTGGGTGGTTCTTGCAGTTCTAGAGTGAACCAAAGCAGACATTGCGGGCTTTAAGTCTGCCCTTCCCTACATGTAATATCCTGCCTTCCAAGACCAAGGCTCATTGCTCGATTATACGAGGAGATGAGGGCTTAAAGCCCCTCTTGTTCCAGGTTCAGCCGTGAAATTGGGGGTGCAGAGCATTTCCTGACATTAGAACTAAGTAGCTGATTCCAGCTGACATTTTTCTTTATCTCTGCTTCAGATCACCATGCTGGCTTTGGGCTCTGGAGTGAGTCTGAGACAGCAAGGGTTTCTACTCAAGGCATTGATTGTGTGCTTGTGATTCCTCACTCAAAATGGGTGGATGGGCTCTTGATCATGATCCTCCAGTTTCACTTCAGTGCTCCAGTTAAAAGCACTTTCCTGGCATTTTATTGTATCTCATTTTACTTCCTTCTATTTCATTTTAGAGTGGGGGAAAAATTGGGTATGCTTGTTGAAAGCAAAAGAAAAGGTATTTCCCTACTTGTGTAATTGTGATTTTCTACTAGAGCAGAGCACCACCTAAAGGTTATGGAGAGGAAAAACACTTTGAATAGTGCTCAGATCTCATTTCTGTTATGTTGCAAATTGACCTAAGAGTTATTGACTTAATAGGAATGGTATAGAAATGTCTTAAATAAATAAATAAATCTCCACAGTGACACCAGAACGAGATAGAGTAACTCGGGCAGAAAAGTTCTTAAGAGGGTTTCAGTGTAGCTTGCCTTGTGCTTTGCTTTTATGAAAATCTAGTTTCTTCCCCAAATGCATTACAAACCAGCAAATTACTTGCCTAGGGTGATGATCTCCAGCCATAATGTTGAAAAAGAAATCTGACCTTCCACTGAAATTGAGGATGTGATTCAGCTTGGAACAGGATGTACTGATAGGGAGAAAAATGAAATGAATCAGTTGTACAAGAGTTGTCAGGATAGAAGAGACTCTGAGTAATATGGAGTTGGGAAACACTGTCCTGGGTGTTAATTTGCAATGAAAAACAACAAAATTGGCTACGGTGTTAAAACAACACCTATCTGTGACAAGGTGGTAGAAGAAAACCAAATTGTACCTGCTGGGGTTTTATACACAAAAACTATGATATCCAATCAACAGTAGCTTATTTCTTTAGCAGTATATCAAAATTATTCAAATGGATGAGTAATCTTCCAGAAAGTTCACATTCACATGAAATTGCATGTAAAGCATTTGGATCATTAAAACTTTCTGGTAATCAGTGCTTCTATAATAATGAGATTCTAATATCAACAAGGGCAAGCAGACAAGAAAAATGAAGTCCTAGTAGAGGTACCTAATGTTGATGTACACAGTATTGCCAGCCATAGGTTGAATATCTGTTCCTAAATGGTAACAGCCTATTTTCCTTCCCTTCCCTCCAGTCTCCAAACGCACACAATTACCCAGATATGGAAGCTGTACCCCTGTTGCTGAACAGCATGAAGGCAGATCCGGAGGAAGACTCCTTGTCCGCAGATCATTTTCAAACGCAAACTGAGCCAGTGGACTTGTCGATAAACAAAGCCCGGTCATCCCCGATCGCTGCCTCGTCTTCGCCGGTGTCCATCACGGCATCGGCATCTTCTCCTTCTTCCACTTCAACATCTTCTAGTCGGCCAGCCTCATCGCCCACAGTAATAACGTCGGTCTCTTCAGCAGCAGCCGCCCCATCAGTATTAACTCCCGGCCCGCTTGTGGCATCTGCGTCAGGCGTTGGAGGGCAACAGTTTTTGCACATAATCCATCCAGTACCACCTTCGAGCCCCATGAACCTGCAGACCAACAAAATGAGTCACGTACACCGTATCCCGGTGGTGGTGCAATCTGTACCTGTGGTCTACACTGCTGTGAGATCCCCAGGGAACGTGAACAATACTATAGTCGTCCCGCTACTGGAGGATGGGAGAAGTCATGTCAAAGGTAAGATCGCGTCTTGCTGAAATGCTACCCAAGTGGCACACGCTGGAATAAGGAGCTGGGAGGCATGGATGTATTGGGATGTTTGTGGGCAGCAAGGTCAGCAGAATGTGAGCTGTTCTGCTCTTCAGCTCCCAGAATCTCTGATGATCAGCTTTGCAGGCAGGAGCTCCTGGGAGCTGCAAACCAAAACAACTGGAGAGCTACTTTCCGCCCATCCCTGATCCCCATTGCAGGAATGATGAGAAAATTAGAAGTAGAGTTTCAGTCTCAGTCTTGTGGTCAGCTCTAGATTACATCTTGTTCTGTGCTAAGGGACTCATGTAACACCTTCCCCCCACCTGGAAATTAATGCTGAGGGATTTTTTCCAATGCTTCCGAACATATTTCTGCCATAATGGTGATTATATATTGCTGCATTTGATCGTAGTAACGGGCAGTTGTGTATTTTAATAGGTCCAGTCATAAATCTGCAGGATTTACTTCCCACCTTATCTCCTAGGTGTCTGTGAGACATGTTCTGCATGCAGAGATGACTTACTTCCCTTGTGGTCTCAGGCCAAATAACACTGATGCTAAAATAGGATTGCAAAATTGTTGTACCTTCTGGGCTCATTTATGTCCCTAAGAGAACTGCCAGTGATCTTTGAGAAGTAATTAAACTATGGAAAAGTCCAAAGAAGCCTTCCAACAAAGTCTCTTCCCTAGCTTGGTAGCTACCAGATGTACTGGGATATGTCCATTGGGTATAGTGTCTTTGACTTCTGAGAGTTCATCTGGAAGGTAGCATGTTAGGGAAAACTGGCTAAGGTTTTGTAACTGGCTAATTTAAAGAGGCGGTCCTACAATGGCCCAGTCTAGACCTAGAAGAATGAGACGATTGTCCCCTAGCTGCTAAATGCCCTCTCCTGACAGAGTGGTAGCAGCCCAGCCTTTTTCGAGACACATTTTAGTTGAGGGTAGATGTGGCTTATATGCAGAATTGGCTTTGGCTACCCTGATGGTTGACTTCATGAGAAAAGGGCTAGGACAAGGGCAACTTTCTCTCCATCTCTTGGGGGCTTTTTAAAGGTTGACCTTTATTTATTTTGATTTATATACCTACCCTAGCCAGAAAGGCTCTCTGGGTGTTTACATAGTTATCTTATTGTATCCATAGTATCATGTAGGACCATCACTGTGACTTAAGGGATAGCAAGCCCTCTTTTGCAGTGATCCTGTTCTTACCTGCAGGATTGCTTGCAGTGGGTAGGTTATTTTCTTGGCCTTCTGAAACTTGTTTCCAGGATTGTCACAATCTGCCTGAAGTTGTTGGAAGGAGACTAGAGGAGATGATGAACAAGGGTCACGAGTATGTAGATGACACTCAGCTCTCTTTCCCTCTTACACATGCACCAAGAGTGGACTTGTATGTCCCAGACCAGGGTCTGAGAGCACCTGTGGGCTGGATGGAGCTGGTGGACTTGGACTGCAACCTGGTTAGACATAAGTCCTGGAGATACACAGTTCCTGGCTCCAGGCAGTTGGTCTGCTCTTGGTGGGGTTAGATAACTCCTATGAAGTATAGCCCAAATCAGAAAGGGCAGGAGAACTGAAGAGGCTGGAGCAGCTGTTGCGCCTTAAACTGTTAACGCCCTTACCAACGTGGTCTAGGATTTTGAAGATTCCGCATGTAGAGCTGACTCTTCTATGTAACGGATACTCAGCCCAGTTGAGGAAGACATCTTGAATTTTTGTTTGAATCAGAATTCAGAAAGACGCGAGAAATTCTACAAGCAACTTCTGTACTAGTGCTGTTGGCGAGGACATGTAGCATTTTGTTGTTGTTATAATTGCTCATGCTGTCTGTTATATAATTGTAAATAAGAAAAGTTTTTCTGTGTGAAATTGTGTTTGCAATGCTCATCAGTACATCTCTAAGTAAACAAAGAGTCCCATAGAATCTGTAAGTGCTACAGTTGTGCTGTCTCTGAAGGAGAAGGTATGTAGTGTTGCCTTCAGCCATTTCAAGATGAGACATGGTATTTATCTTATATAGCATTATATAAGAATATAGAAGGGAGATTATTGTGGGATACGTATGGCTGTGGTCATATAATACCATTGCTGAAAGAATCGAACTAACTTCCAATTTGTTACTCCGCCACGCATTAACCTCTGAGACCCTAAACTACTTGGGGCAAGAACACCTAAGGGAAAAACTTACACTGTTTGGCACCTGCAATTGTTCTCCCAGACCCTCCAGCTTGTGCCACACCTGGCAGAGATCGATCTGATGACTGTCAGGAAGAGGGTCTTTTCCATTGGCCTTGTCCACTGTTGTTGTTGCATTGCGCTTATATCCCACCTTTCCTCCTCTTAAAGTAGCCCAAAGTGGCTTACATAGCTCCATTTATCATCACAGCAGTGCTGTAAGGTCTGTTGGGCTGGAAGTGAGTGACTGGTCCCCTGTTACTCCCCACTGACCAAGTGGAAACCAGGGCCCAGGGCCCCCAGGTGCCCAGTCCAGCACTCTCAGCCCACACGATACCGGCTCTCAGTAATTGCACCCATCCCCGGAATACCATCCCCACAAAACTGAAGCATGTGTTACATCTGGTTTGATTCAGATGCATGTCGGACCATTTTTTTATTTGCCTTTTATTTGATCTGTATTTCTCCCACTCTCATTGGTTTTCCAAAGGCCTTCGGTGCTATTAGGATGTTTTAGTTCTTTCAGTTTTCTGGGAAAGGCAGGACTGGGATTTCTGGAAAATTTTCCACTGCTCTAAATCAAGTTATCTGATTAAGCCTTTTCTGATTGACTCATTTTTACTCCCCGACACATTCTTCATCAGCAAGCATACAAAATATCTCATTTTAGCAAACAGATTTCAACATCTAAACCATACCAATGTGCAGTATAAAAATAAAAAGTTTTCCCAAAAGCTACAGAATATTTGAACTGGAATATTTACTGGGGGCAGATGGGATTAAATTAGCCATACTATATTTTATAAGTTATATGAACACTTCATGTTTATTTGAATATTTGTAAAAATGAAACTACAATAGCATATACTTTCTTGTAAGGTGTGTTTACATTTAACAAGAAATGACTACACCTGAAAGAATTCACTGCTTTTAGGATATATACTCAGAGAGAGTTGGCATAGCTTATATGAACAGTTTAGTTTTGCCAAGTTAATTATCGTAGCACCTCCAGCTTCACTGCAATGCTTCCTGGTTCCATTTCAAGGTGAAAAAATCTGATTCCGAACTAGCCAGTTGTTCTGTTGCATTAAAGGATGGCTCCATTCCCACAGCAGGGAACTGGGGCAGAAAGGTGTTCTTGCGCTGAGATCCTGATGTGGGATTCCATGGTCAACTGGAAGAATGATGGGCTAGGTGACCCCTGTGTCTGATTTTATATGTGTCTTCCTATGTTCTTCAAAGAAACAAGCCAACCATCAGCCAGTAAACATGGTCTTAGTTTCAGTTTTCCTTCAGTTTTTAATTGAAGAATCCTACCAAAAGGTCCCCTCCTGACACTGCTAGGAAACAGTTCCATTGTGTCCAGGAAGATATTGCCATACGAGAGTTTTTTAAACCTTGCTTTAAAAGAATATGTCCTAGATTTACCCATCTAACGTGGCTGATTGCAGTAGGGCAGTCTAGGCATTTACAGATAAACACAAACATACAGTATATGGTATGGAAAATTCTCCATGGGAAAATGCAGGACTGGAAAATTTTCCATGGAAAAGTATAGCAAGAATATAACAACAAGCACATCATTGCTTATTGTTACGTAAAACTGCCATTGCTGTTCTGTACCACCTGGATATGTTTTACCTGATGGCTGCAGCAGAAGGATCCTGAAATAAATAGATGAAACAACTCAGCCCTAAAGGGGAGCCATGCCATCTCTGTGTCGAGTGTAATTGGATCGTTCAGTGCTTGCCCGAGAAGGGGGTCCACTGCATCTTTTCATGAGTCACTACTTTGGGCTTGTTTCCCTCTAATCAGGAAGAGAAATCAGACAATAAAGAAGGCAGACTTTTCTGTGGGGAGGCAAGCCTTATTCTTGTTTGATCTTTTAAAAAGTTACGAGGTATCCAAATCAAGGGTATCTCTCACATAAAAAGGAACTTAGTTTGGAAACACTGCTGTAAGAACTTTTATGCTAGTGGCATGTATATAGTGCTCTTCTCAAGGGTTCAGGGATGCCACGGACTTTATCTTACGGGTCCTCAACCCTGTAAAATAGAACAGTACGGCCACCCCACATATTACAAACAAGGGTCCTGCTGAGGCAGGGATTAAGTAGTATCCTAACCCTTAATTCCTGTGATCCTTCAGGGGATTACAGCTGAGTTAAGATTTGAACAGGGACTTCCCAGCTCACATTTCTAGCTATTACACTGAATCAATGTATAGCTTTTCATGGTAGCGATGATTATGGAGCATTTCATCTGATACGTTTTAATGTGACCTTGAGAAAACCACTACCTTGAAGAAAGGAAGTTTGTGTGTGTGCACAAACCGAAGCAAAGAAGAGGTGAGGATTGGTCCTGGATCGGGATGCTACACCAGGAAAAGAAAGCAGGTGCCAAAATTTCCACCATACAACCTCTTCTTCTCAGCCTGGCTTTCTCTCGTTTGCCTGCCTTAGTGGAAGGAAAGCAGAGGTGAGGTGAAGCAGTGCAATAGTAGAATCAGGTCCGTGTTGTGGGCACTCACGGACAGGTTTTATATTGATTTATTACATCTGTACCACGCCTTTCCTTGAAGGAACCCAAGGTGGTGAACACCCGAAACAACCCTGTGAAGTAGGATAGGCTGAGACAGCGTGACTAGCCCGAGGTCCTCCTTGAGCTGAGCTGGGATTTGAACCTAGGTTTTTCTCGCTTTGCAGCGTGTCCAGTGCACTGCACAAGGTCACTCACAATGACAGCAGAGATAGAAGCAGTGTGAACACCTGCACTGTACCTTGAGAGACTGTGAGAGGGGTTCAGAAGAGG